TTTTAAATTACCAAATTAAATTTTTAGAAAAATTAATTAAATAAATAATTTAGAATGAAAAATAATGTTTTTATATAATCCAATATAAATAATAATGTTTTCACTATTGATTACATTTAATGCATGCATGTATGTTTTTAAAATTAATGCATGTATTCAATTTCTGTTTTACTCCGCTATTTCAATTACGAAATAATGTAGTATGGAACTTACATAACTTTATTAAATGCATGAGATTAATCAAACTGGAGTATTATTTGCTAGAGAAACACTAAAACCCTACATTAGGAGAGAATACAGTGATGTGCATTTAATGCACTGATTTACATACAAAATGAGAAACGGTGAATAATAAATGTAACGTATTTTATTTAGATGTAGTAATGAATTATTAAAATCATCATATGTTTTGTGTCTATAATTATTTATGTAATGTTTGCGTGTAAAATATTCTACAATCATTAGTACACCAATACCTCGCATTGTGCTGCTTCAATCAGTCCGGATTAAGTATAGTCCGGGTTAAAAAAAATAAAATTAACTAAATTGTTTTTTTTTATTAAATTATTTATTTCACAAAAATTATGAATAATTTGTACTTAAGTGCAACTTTGTACTTACTTATATTTATTACGTATTTGGCAAGTGTTTATAAGGTGCAAGTATTTCTACAAGTGAATATACTTGATACATTACTTGACAAGTAAGTGTTTTCGAAATTGTATATAATTGTATATATTTTAATTTTCTGTTTAAAAAGTGATATTTTTTTAAAAATATTTCCTAACTAATCCATTAGAATTAGTTTAACTTATGAAATAGTTGCAAGGCGCGTCTTTATAACTAAATATGAATTTGTTTAACCACGAAATGACAGCAAGATGACAGCTGTCACTTTGTTGTACTCATTCGGATGGGTTCATCATTTGACAGCAACAAACGATTCATCGTCGCGAGACGCGTTTTCATATTTCTCAACTAATGTATGAACTTAAATAAGTTAATAAGAAAACGCACTATTGTTCGTGTCCATTCGGATTAGTTTAACTTATGAAATCGTTGCGAGGCGCGTTTTTATAACTAAAGAAGAATTTGTTTAGCAGTAAAAGCTACGAAATGACAGCAAGATGACAGCTGTCACTTTGTTGTACTCATTCGGATTGGTTCATCATTTGACAGCAACAAATGATTCATCGTCGTGAGACGCGTTTTCATAACCATTTGTCCCAGCAAATGACAGCTGTCACTTTGATGTCATATAGCAACACAAAAAATATGTCCTAACGAATTGGGTACATCTATAAATTTAACTTTAAAGAAATCATTGAAAATATAAAATATTAGGTCTTAAGTTAACGCTTCATATAAGTATGGAAATATCCGGATCTAAAATATCAGAATTATCAAATAGGTTTTTTTTTCGGTTCGTTTGACGAAAGACTGAATTGAGTATTATTTCGCCTCATTAAATTTGAAAGATGTTTCTGCTAGAATTCACCAAATCCTAGGACCCCTACTTTTTGTACGTTTCGATGCAAAAGCGGATCATGTTCATAAATAATTCATGAAGAAATTCAACGATTCGAGAATTCTGTGAAAACAGTGAACATTATTTATTTATTCTCTAAAATATGTAGTAAATAAAATTATGCGTAAATAATATAAAATTTTGTGCAATTTCACAAAAATATTAAAATTATATATTAAATAAAAATCAGTTTAAACAATTTACAGTTACAGTTAAGCAACTTTGATGGGTGATTTGTAATTTTGAAATAAATACATTTAAAATAAATGAGTAATTATTTTTGTATATCAGAGAATATAAAAAAGTGATTATTTAATTAGTTTTAAAAAAAATATTACATAATGTACAATAAAATATTTTTATTTTCTTATAACCAAGGCATTGTAAGAAAAGAAATGAAAATAAAAAATTGCGGACCGTAAATAAAGATGAATGAATGAAATATGGAAGAGCTTAAAGAAACAAATAAGAAGTGACTTATGGGAATTTATGAAAATAAGAATTGGAAACACGAAAAGAAAAGAGTATATTTAGGAACTTTATAAGTAATAAAATTAACTTGGAAAACTGTTAATTTTATTAAATTTTAAGAAAAGAAGAAATCAAATCTTGATTTTAATAATTTGTAAAAGAAAATCAATAAATCTATATGATTTCAATTAATCAATGAAATAAAATTTGTTCATCTTAAATAGAATATGAATATAATATTTTATACGAATTTGAACCTAAATTTTAACTCATATTCTACAATGAAAATTATAATTATTCATTGTAGAATATATAACATGTAACATGACCCGAAATGGTAATTTCCACGAAAACAGAGAATCGTGCCCATCCCTGAAACTATGTGCACGTACATCCATGTGGCAACCTGAAAGGACGAGATTTGCAGACGGTATTTGCTTGGGGTTAGCAAACATACCTCATTGAATTAACACGCCATCCGCAACGATTCTGGTGGATGCGCCGGGGTAAATATCAGTGGCCATCCTCATCATTTTACATTACGTAAACATTTTGCGCAACCAAAACCGAACATAATCCATTCTTTCAAATTAACACGCGGTCAAAACAACAAAAATAAAATAAAAATACATGTATAATAAACTCTCATTACGATGAATACACACGTTCGCTCTAAATTTTAATCAACCCGTTGAAATCTCCAAACCCTGTTGGATTAAAATTTATATGAATGGAGCTTCCAATTTGTGTTATTTCATATTAAATTTGTTGCGAAACGAATACTAATATCAATGAGAAAAAAATATGTTTTTTTTTAATCAACATTTTTATAATATTTTGTTGACGGTTTTTATTACTTCAAAGTTAAATAAATTTAATAATATCCTTGTTCTAATAAACGACAAAGAAATATATTGGTTACATTTCTGTTTACCTTTATTTTTTTTAATTTTAATATCACTTCTTCTCTTATATTGCTCGTTTTATAACTTGAAATTTTTTTTTTATATTACGTAATTTCATTTGTTACGTTGCTCATTTTTAACACTTAAGAATCTAATAAACTGCGAAGAAAAGTTTTATCCTTTTTTTTTTAATTAATAATTTTTTAACTTTTATTTAATTAAATCAATTCTTTTGTTACCTAGCTAATTTTTAACACTTGAAAATAAAATAATTTTGATTATGCCTTTGTTCTTATATAAAAGGTGAAGAAATATATCATATATTTTTTTGTAATAAATAAACATTATAACATTTATTTATTTAATAACGTAATTAATTTTCTTGTGGTTTTTGTTTTCAATCAAATAAACTTAATTATGTTCATGAAGAAATGTTTTGATATATTTTTTAAATTAATCAAAAATATAACTCGTTAAAGCAGGTGAAAATATACTTTTTTTCTGGAATTTAATTCCCACTTTTCCATTTATTTAATTGTATCATTACTTTTGTTACGTTTCTCATTTTTTAACACTTAAAATTCTGGAAAGGACATTGCAAGGACTTTTAGGAGAAATGAGGAAATGTCCGGGACATATGACAATTTTCCAGGCGTTAGCACAGAAATGTAGCATTTGCATAATTCATTTAAATTCTTTGAGCACACACAATTTAAACCCAAATCTCCTCTCGAGAAAAAAGGACATTTTATGCAGTTCTTAAGAATGGGAAATTCACCTGAAGATTATACAAATTTAGTCCATTAGACCAGGAAGTAATTGAAGTATACATAGTTTTTATAATTATAATTATTTTATAATATACATTTCTTAGCATTACTTACTTTTTCATTTTGAAAAGTTATTTAACTTTTAAATTGTATATTTAAAATATATTTACAATAGAATCTCGGATGTCGAACATAATTCGTGTTTAAGGACTGTTCGGAAACCGAAACCATTTTCCATATAAGAATTACTGTAATTGGATATAATCCTTTTTAGTTGCTAAAGACGCTACGTTCTATTATAATCAAATTCTCATGGAATTTCGGTTGTCGAACATATTCCTTTTTTAAAAACTGTTCGGAAACCGAAACCATTTGCAATATAAGAATTACTGTAAATGGATTCTAGTCGCTACGTTCTATTATAATTAAATTCTCATGGAATTTCGGTTGTCGAACTTTTTAAAGGCTGTTCCTAAACCCAAATCATTTTCCATTGAGGAATTAATTTAAATGGATATAATCTATTTTAGTTACTAAGGACGTTGTATGAAAATCTAATTGCAATTGAAACTCGGTTGTCGAACATATTTCATTCTCGAAAGCTGTTCGAATACCGAAACCATTTTGTATACAGGAATGAATGTAATACATTTTGATAGCTAAGTTGCTAAGGACGCTACTTTAGTTACTAAGGGCGCTACAAAAATTAAACCCATAAATATATGTTTATATATGTTTTCTATTTTTAGATTTAATTATAAATTACATTGAAATGGAGCCTCTGATACTGATAAACTCGACGCTGTCAACAAACTCGACAACAACCGACAACACCACAACGTTTCTAATAGGATTCGGTATCCTGTTGGTATTCGTCGTGCTCGGTGAGTCGACCAGCATCCTTTCAAAACGGACGTGGATTAAGATTAAGTAAACCAAATTATAGGTATCCTGGCGAGCGCCTTCCTATGCATCACACTCAAGAAGGATCCATATTTATGGGACTCGGAACGTGAGAGGCAGATGCAGGAGAAGCAGGACGAAAATGCACCGAAAGGAGAAAGCAACACCGAGACGGACGACGTCTAACAATGACAAAAATTCATAACAGAGAAACGCAAAAAAATACATAAACATATACAAATATACACACGTATAATTCTTTGTTTTTAATCCACACACATGCACACAATGCTGAAATTAAATTAAATAAATGCGGAAACCGGAAACTCTCAAAACCTTCGTAATTTGAAACTTATAAACTATGAAACTTAAACGATTCTATCCTTAAATAAATCAAGCACATTTTTATCATGTTTCTTGTTCTTTTTTTTTTCGTCTCGTCGATGACTCGTCAACTCCGTTTAGCCCTTATTGATACTGATGTCAACGTCGTTCAGGTCCAGACCGAGGATCTCCTCCATCGTCCCTTCCGGATGGAATCTCTGCAGGGCATCGTCCAATACTCCAGTAAACACTTTGATCTGCTTCAGAACATCCATATCACCCTAACAACAAACATACTTGTCTCAACTCATTTCCAACCAAATTTAAATAAATTAAAAAAAAATATATCAACAAATATTTTATTTCAATATGTCAAAAAACACAGCATAAAATTGTAAAAGTGATTAAAATTATTTTTTTTACTATTTAATTCACTTTTTTTCAATAAATTTATTGTAATTTCAAGGACCAAACTTCTATCATTTATGGGTATATTATGTTAGAAATGCATAAGTGTTTTATTTCATTTCTACTATTTTTTGCTTTTTTATATAATTTTATTTATAATAATAGACGATATTTTTAAAATGTATTCAAATAAATTGCAATTTTGGCTGAAGACGATAATTTGTATGGATTTTAAGTTGTCCAATTACTTGGATCTAAATAGATTGTGAAAATTTTTATTATATTTTGTTAAAATATTTTTTAGAAATTATGAAAACAAAATTAATATTGTATTTAAAGGAATAAAATTTTAAACTTACATTGAACATCATTTGGGCATGATGGACTAGCCTCCTAAGATCCTGTATGATCGCTGATTGAGTCTTGTACATTTTACAGTTGTGCTTATGTATAATGCTCTGCAAATTGTCCGGCGAATCTTTGTGGATGGACTAGAAAATAAATAAAATTTAAAAATTATTTACAGTTAGAAGTATGAGGAAAGCACCATTTTGTTGAGCAGTGTTTGATTCAGATCAGTTTTCTCCAGATCCTCCAGAAGTCCGGTTATAGCAACCTCATCAAAACCAAAGCTTCTCAACTCTTCTTTATTCTTAGTTTCATTTCTTTGTAAAACTGTCACAGGTCTATCCGGCAAAATACTCCTCAGATCTGAAAGAGAGTAGACGAGGTTCTGCTGATCGAAGTGATCGCTGTACAACCACTTCCTAACGTTATCCACGCTCACTATATCTTCAACCGCATCCCCAGAATACGAACTGTTCTTCTTGATCAAATTGGAGGTAGCTGTGATGGCATTCTTCCAATCACTATCATTAGCTTCATTCTGTTTTTTGGCTTCTAATTTCTTGTAATGGCACGATATGTTTTTGGCCGTTTCGAAGAATTCTATCGAAGGTGAACTGTTATCAGAATTGGGTTTCTTTGGTACGCTGTAGCTTCCTGGCTTCATGTAGACGCGCGACTCACCATCGGACTCTTCTTCACGAGGGGATGGCTCTGTGGTCGTTTCCGAGAACTGATTCGTCTCTTCTGTTGCTAAAGGTTGAGTTGCTGTAGGCAACGGCACCTCGATGGGTTCCAAGGGCACCGGTCTAACAACCCGCGTTCGGTTTACAAAGGTTTGATTTGGAATGGGATTGCTTACATTGTTGTCTAGGTTCGAAAAGATCCGGATCATGTGTTCTGCCAGATCTTTAGTGTGACTCTCCCAAACGGCGTAGCAACTCTTGAATTCTGCTGTTAACTCACAATCAATGTTGCCCAAAGTACCGTCTTTGGCCTGCAAGTAACCTTTGAGCATGTGCCAACAGTTGATGAGTCGCACGTAGGCATAAATGAAGTCCTTGGTTGCCCAAGGTATTCCTTGAGAATGGATGTTGGAAACGGTGTGACTGGGTTTCAAGATCTCGTTCTTGGTTCGATTGCAAAGGTTCTGGATGTTCTTGAAGCAAGGCCGATGCTGGTTTCTAATAGCAATCTTCTCAGCTATGATGCAACCCTGCTCTAAGAACTTGGTAAAGTCCTCGGTGTTAGCATCATTGGGCATTGTTCCAAAATCTTCGACATCCTCAGCAGTCCTTAGACTCTCACCAACTTCGCGCGCCTCTCTTCTTTCAGATCCCACAGGATCCGGAATTGGTATACCGGAAGGAGTGGTAGATGGGATCTGATGGGCTATAGCATTGGCATTGAACACCGGGATGTTGTAGGGCATATTGTAGGTGGTGTATTGGTAATGAGCAAGGTTGTAAGGTCTCGGTACAGGTGGAGGGACGTACTGCGCGAGAAGCGGCTGCCGGTAGGGATTGTACAAAGGGCTCGTGCAAATACACTGATGCACGTGGAAATGCATACCTTGACTGGTATCATTTCGGTTCTGTTCAGGCTGGTACATCTTGCCGCAAACAAATACAAAATTAAAACTCCAATGTTGATAGGTGCATCTTAATTTTACTTCAAAGTGATCTGAAAAAAAAACCGTCCTTTACATGTTAATTTCATTTATCAGACCAACAACTTAGTAATTACCTTAAACATTACCGAATGCAGAAAAACGTTTTTTCCTTTGATAAAATAATGCAGCGATCAACGATACAAACTACACACGATTTAAACTGTCAACTGACAAACGCAGCTGTATCAGCATTTGTTTCCAACGATATATCTAATAAAATTAATTAAAATTGTTAATTTTACTTGAAAATTACAGTTATCACAATACATTTGATTATAATAAAGAAGCAAATACATAATTAAAGATAACGTTGATATATCTCTATTGTTTTTACTACAAGAGAAAAGCAAATACAATTTTTATTTTCATAAATTTGTCCATAAAATTAACGAAAATAGAAAACATTATTTTTGTTATTTCTAAAATTATATAACTTTTAAAAAATATTATTAAATGAAAAAATAACATTTTTAAATATGTGAAAAATCTATCGTGTATAAAATTTTAAAACTTATTATTAAAAAAAATCTAACGTCAATCAATAATTTTTAATATTATTTAATGATTTCTTCATTTATTTCCATAAATTTCCAATTTATAAGGACAAATTCAATAAGAAAATGTTACTTATTATTGATTATTCGTAAAAATAATTATAAAATATTTTTTCGTGATGGAAATTTTTTAATAATTTATTAGTGAAATTGATACTCTATTAAAACTTACATTGCGAAAGTGGAGTAATGGAGGAAGCGCAGTTTTTTTTCTTACGTAATACACAGTGATAACTGAATTAAAGATTTAATTGTCAATAATTAGAAACGCTTTCTATCCGCGTTACCAACTTATATTTTAATTACTAAAAAAAATAATCATGGTTTTACTAAAAATCCTTTACCAACTTGGGTAAATTATATGTAAGAAATATGTGCATTGAATAGTTTAAAAAAGATCAATTTTGTTTGTAGTGGAAAGTAACTAATTAGTATTGATTTAAAAAGAAATAAAAATATAAGATTGTTATGCAATTGCGATTTTTTTTCAATGAATGCACAAATAATATTCTTGCATTTGAAAAAGTAAAACGATTAATAATTGTAAAATGCTTTCGTGTATTCTATCGATTTTGTTTCTCCAACATCGCATAGAATTTATTTAAATTCCCGTTATATTTCCTTTTCAAGCAAAGCTTTCATTTGCCTTCACGGAATTCATGTATTCATATTCCCTGTGTAATTAAATTTCTTATATATATCTGCGTTATTTCTGAATGAAAACTGGTAATATAAAATAATAAAACTGGGTGTATTAAATTTTACTCAAAAAAAAATTATAAACAAAAACACAACAAATAGTCTCCCTTGGCAGTTATTCAATCCATCCACACAAGGATAATTACAAAAAGATAGATGAAAATTTCAATTACAAAAATTGATTGATATTTTTTTCTTTTACGTAAAAAGCATACATTGTAAAACACTCTTAAATGCTACCTATAACTGAGAGTTGAGAGGTTTCTTTCTGTTATTTTTTTTTTTTTTTATATTTATATATATATACTCTTCGTCGTGCTAACTTTTAAACTTATTTGATGCTAGAGGTGCTGCCGAGGTTTATTAGCAACGGTTCGATAGTTTCAGAAGTGCCAGAAGGGACATCAAAAGGGTGGCAGATCCGAGGAGGCTGGAGGATGAGTTGCATTTGTCCCCTTCGCAGGCGCATACTTCTTGACGACCTCCGAATCCGGAACGGTGGTAGCAGCGGTTCTTGTAGGTGGAATCGTCCCATCCGCAGGAGCGGATCACACGGTTGTCTGGGGGCACTGGAATAGAAAATATAGTTTAAGTTATTGAGGTTTATTTACAGATTTTGAATCTGTGCCAATTGATGCTTACGACAGAGCGTTGACGTATGTTTGGTCATCTAATTGTCACTCTTACAAAACGTAATAAATGAGAGTTTTTGATAATATTCCAATTCGAAGTAGGTGTTGGATGATAGCCAACAAGTTCTAATTCTTATTATTTATCTATAAAATCATTCTAATTATAATAGTTAGCGCCTATTTGTAGCAATGTTTATCATAAAGTAAAGCAATACTGATTTTAGAGAAGTGCACCTGGATTTATCGCCAAGGACAAATTTTATGCTTATATCAACGATTTTACAATGTATTCATAATGACATATTTTATAAGTTAGATAACGGATTTTATAAAATCTGTTGCGTATTATATATAAAAGCAATAGTTATTTATACTCGAAATTCAGTCAACACAATCAAGGTGCGTCTTATACATCGAACAAATTAAATAATACTAATGTTTCCACTCTCAAATTTGAAGTGCGTTTTGTATTTTTTTTATGCGGATTAATGATAATTAATATCAAATAATAATTATACTTCCTAAATAAACAATTTGAAATCAAAGGACATAATATTATAAAAAATGACTTAAAATGTGAAAGATTATGGAAATGCTTATAGACTGGTGCGTCTTATACAGATGATTCTTATAGATCAATATGACTTATGGACTGATCAGTCTCATAAACTGGTGCGTCTTATATACAAATGATTCTTATAAATCAATACGTCTTACAGACTAATGAGTTTCATAGATTTATGCGTCTTATAGACGATAAGTCTAATAGATTGGTGTATCTCATATACAGATGATTCTTATAGATCAATACATCTTATAGACTAAAGAGTCTCATAGATTTGTGAGTCTTATATACTGATGATTATTATAGATTAATGTGTCTAATGGACTGATGTGTCTGATAGACTGATGCATCTTATATATAGATGATTTGTGTGTCTTATATACAGATGATTATTATATATCAATGCGTCTTATACATCAATTAGTCTTATTGACAGATGCCTTTCATACACCGAAAATTATGTTTATCAACAATAAATTACAACAATTATCACTATTTTCTTGAAAATTGAATCATGACAAATATTGCTGTAGTTTGTGAAAATGAATTAGTACATAAATTATTGCATGCTACATGATTTGTGTTTTAACGATATTTAGGTTACAATTAACACTCAGCGACTAATGAATTGTTGAACAACAACAATCTATTTTTAGCTTCCATAGTAATGTATTCTATTACGATTATTTAGATAAATAATGTGCAATTGAATACGGTTCATGATCAAAATAAAATTTCATTCCATTTAAAGTTTTACATCTCACAATAGTTAAGCAACGTGTCTAAATGATAGTACTTGAATGAAATTGATATCTTATAAATGAGTCAAAAAATAATGGCTTCTTTGAGAAAACTTCTTATATTTCAATGTATGGCCATGAAATTATGTAATTTCATTATACATTTTATTACAAGATTTTTTTTCTCAAAAAATGTACAAAATTTATACAATATATGTTACATTGAACTAGAAACTTTTTTTTAATTGAGTTAAAAATTGAGTTGGAAAATATAGTAAATTTATAATATTACAAATTTATAGTAATTACAAATCAGTCAAAATAAAATTTGACAATTAAACAAGTGTAATATAACATTAACAAAGTAAACACATAATACCTTTGTTACGTAAAAATTCTATATTTAAAACTCAACGCTTGAAGGATCGGCAACAATCAAACAAATAATATGACCTTGGAAAGGTAATAACAATGATTTGTTGGTTTATCGAATTGTATTAACTATACTTTTTGTACATGCAATATGTATAGATTTTCTTTAAAAGAATGAAGATTAAAATTTCTTGTAATTTAAACTAAAAACTGAAGAATTGAATTGTATAAGTAAAGTTTAGAATTTAATTCTATACATTTACTAGATTTGTCAATGTCATTGCTTCTTCTATGAGAAATAAAATAAAACTAGTTTTATTTTTTTTATAAAACTTTGCAAGTAAACTACAGTAAACAATTAATTAATTACCAACATAATTGAATAATTCCAATCTAAATTAATAAAAAATAGTCTGGACTGAATAATTTACTAAAAATTTGCAATTCGTAATATGTTCCATTAATTTTCCATTGTAAATTATTTTGATAGTTTAATTAATAAGTGACAATAGAAAAATAAACCCAATTTGTATTGCGCTAAATTTTGTGTAGTTGAACTAAATTATTTTTTTATAGAAATATTACATCATACACCAAAAAATATTCACACAACAATAATACTCAATTAGTAGTAATAAACGTTTCAATTAAATTTATCTAGATTATTGTTTGCTATTATTTACTATAACTTATATGTTTTTTTTTTAATAATTTGTAAATTTTTACTTTATTTTACTCCAAATATTGTTGAAATTGTTAGAATTTCTATCACCAAAACTATAAGATTTAATTAATTCGTAAAGATCTGAAGGTTTTCCTTGATGTTTCGTAAATGTATAATTTAATGTCAAGCCAAATACCTTGCATGCAAATTCAAAGTAAATTCATTCAAAGACTCGTACGACTTTGGCCTTCAGACCTTTGTATCAATGTTAAATAATTCCATCTAAGAAACTATCGATTTTAGACTACTTTTGTTACATTATTAATTGAGACTACAAATTAAATTTTAATTGCGCAAAGTAAATTATCTGCAGCTAAAATATACATTATTTTTTACGTTTCATAATAAACTTGTTTTATATGCCAAGAGTCCCTTTTATTTTAAATTCTAATTATATGTATGTTCGTGCTTGAAATATGTTAACTAATTTAATTCAATCGTGAAAATGTTATTGTTCCTTTTTTTATAAAAAAAATCTAATAATTTTATTTCCAAACTGAGTTTAGGAGTATTTCCCTAATTTCATGTAATTCGTGTGAATGAAGAAGTAAGTTTGATACTTCTTTGAAAGTCGAGGCACGTACATTTTTTATCCAGATGGATCAAAGGAGTTTCCGTATTGTATCCATGGTAATCAAGAAACGTAGTTGAATTGTTTTAATAGAATGCTTTTGGTATATGTTTTGAAAAATATGATCAAATTTGTTATTAGTTTCCAAATGTAAATAAAATAAACTACTTTCATTTCTTCATTCAGAAACATCAAGTTAAATTAAACAAATATTTTTAATTGATAAATATTGAATTGATAAAATTCAACAAAATTAGTATATTTTACATTGAAATATTTCCTTAAATTCGCATAAATATTAAAGTAGTATAAGAATAAATCTGAATTTTTGTGAGAAATGAAGATTCAAATTAATTCAATTAAGAGAAATGTTTTTAAACAGAAAAAAATGATTTTTACAAGAAATTGTAACTTTTTCTCTTTCATATATTACATTTAGACACTTATTAGATGTGTATAAACATTAACGATTTATTAATTGTAAATTAACAAACGTCACCCATCCAATTATAATCCGGTATAAACAATGCTTAACTTCAGTAAGTTATAAAACATAAATTTTGTAAAATATATACTTTTATTTCTAGCTGTTGTTTTCTTTTCGTGCTAAACAGATTATTGTTAATCGACAGAACACTCCTTTCGTATACGATGGATGAGTTGTTTCGCACCATCTGCGTCACCGAATTAACAAACAATTCAAAATAATTTAATGGTTAACGTCCTGGATACACGATTACGCAATGTGTCGCTGTAATAAAGAATTATATAATATGTATTATATTTTCAACAGCAGGAAATAGTAAACAAATTGTAATTATATGTCTACGTTAAATTTACTTTTTTTTTAAACTATAAAAGTTTACGAATTAACAAGAAATAATTTGATATTTCTTTAAAATTTAAAAAGAAAAAAAAATTAAAGTATTATATTGAAATTATTTTCAAAAGTAATTATAATAACAAAAAAATAACTAATGTTAATTAATTTGTTCTAATTAATGATTAGTATACTTATGCGAAACTTGACGTAAGTAGTATTAATAATGTGTTTTGTGAAATTAATTTACTATTAAAATTAACAGAAAGTTAAGATTACTTAATCAAGAAAATTCTTCAATGCTAAATGTAAATATTTCGTGCAAGAAAAAGCAAATAGATTTGAAGGTTTATTTCTTAAAAGTGTTTGCGTTTGGAGTTAAAAATAAAATGGAATGCTATTCAGTTTGTAAAGTGTGCACGTTCGTTGCAAAATGTACTAAAATTTTCTCCAACTTTTCCATTGATTACTAAAAACTGTTGTTAACGTTATTCATTGATGCGCCAAGGCCGATGGAGACGCGTTTGTTTTGGCGGGAAATAATTATTTAAACAAAAAGTTTAACAATGGGAACAAAAGAGTGTGTGTGTGTTCATTCATTCATTCAGCGCATTCAATTATCATTATTTGGGGCAGTGTAACCGGCGGAATTAAATCCCATTAAAGGCAACGCGGATGTGTTTGATCACGGAAGCGCTCTACTTAGCGGACCTTCCTAATCCTAAAAATGCTTACATCCGTTCACTTCGAAGTCTATGATCTGCTTGATCTTCCTGCACAGGATGTAGGGTTTGCCCTCTTTCGTCTCCTTCGGACAAGACTTCACCATCTCATCGGGAAGCGTGTCCTGAGAGCATCTGGTGTCGTTGTGACTGTTGCATTCGTAGCAATCCAATGCAAAACCTAAAAATAAACGGAATCTATAAATACTGAAGTTACGCCTTGGTCCGAACTGTTTCTACAGCTCTAAACGCTTGAATATGAAACTGATTTAACCCAAAATTTTTGAAGATCTATATTAGTTTTTGGTAAAGGAAATGATAAATAAAATTGTTGTTGAACTTACCAGTCTTTAGGCACACCACGGCCAAGAAGAGGATTCCGAACGCGTACATTTTCTGCACCATTTTCGTAATACTTTTTTGTATTTCGCACTTTAAGCTACTCTTGTTGTTGTTGTTCCTCTTGTTCTTGTTGTTGAACTTCACTGTGCGGCAAACCTGAGTTTGCGATGGTAGAGAGGGACTGGATTCGTTTTGAAAACCCTGCGCAGCGGACACTCTCTGGTAGTCGGGACCAGTTTCCAAAGTGGGGGGACATTCTGAGAAGGAGAGTCCCCACACTTCGATGATTATAATGATTGCCATTCATCGCGATCATCGTGACGATAGGATGGGATAAAGTGGTCTCCTCTCGTCGTCATTGTATTAATCAAATTCCATCAGAAATCGCAAGCAACTGGGTTAATAACGCATTAGGACAAGTGCTTAGGAATCTCGGGTACTTCCTCCTGCAGCTATCGTCTTTCCCTATCCAGGAAGCGACCAATAACTTCATCATTCCAATCCATGTTCCCCTACGATCTTTATAGTTTGGACTCTCTTATTCACTATCCGATATTCTATTTCAAATGTGCTGTTTAGTTCAAGGTCATTCCGAACGCGATTTTTTTTGGCAACGTACGTTGAAAAATATGTTGTTTTGGGACGAGTTTCCGTTCATTCAATTACCTAATTACATTACCTAATTAAAATTTTGCGAAATAAAAGAATGATGTCGCTTCTTACAAAGAGATATTGTAGTTCATGCATAACACGTTAAAAATGAAAAAAAATGTTCAAAATTTAGTTTTGATTTAAAGTACTACAGTTAATACTGTTTCTAAATTACTATCACTTTCTGTTATGTGTGCAGTTAGTTGTAATTATTTCAACAAAATGTTTGTTACTGACATTTCCTAAATGTTGAAATCTTCTAATTCTGAAAGAAAATACTGATTGCTGATGCTCTTATTCCCTTTAATTTATTTTATTAAAATAATTTCAGAAAGAATTAGTGTTACTTTCATGTATTAAAGTCATTATTGTATATTAATTATTGCACTCCAACTAAATATTATTTCATTGCTATATTATTTGATAATTTTCCAAGGTACACAGTTTTAGGAAAAAAATGATCGTTTTGTACTAAATTTTTAGAAAGGTTTCGATTTTTGTAAGGAAAGTAACTTCGAGCATTTAAGAACACATGGCAGGCAGATTCTTAAAATTTGTAAATATTTTTAGATTTACAGTTTATATTTACTATAGAAGATTCCTTTCATTTTTAAAATATTTAAATAAAAGTAAAATTTCTACTTTCAATAGACATTTGAAATATTTCATTACTTTTAATGTACATAATTGCATAATGGCAATTTCAATAGTCTTTTAGCAAAAACGTAGACATTAGAAATGTGTAGGTAGTTCTAAGATGGACTTATTATTTAATCAATAATAAATAGTGTTATACAATTTATTACTCATATACAGATACACCCCGACTTACAAACTAATTCCGTTCCGAAGGGTTGTTTGTATGTCGAATTTGTTCGAATTTTAAAAATTTCAAAATATACACTTTATCAGTACATCTGCCAAAAATATTGTATTTTATTAAAGAAATTATCAATTTTTATTTGGACAGTTTATTTTTTTATCATTACATATCTCCTTGTAACAAGTTAGAGCTTTTAGAATTTTGTTCGTAAGTCAGGGAGTTCGTAAGTCGGGGGATACTTGTATTTCATTTCATTTTTAATTAGATTTTTATATTATATAATAACAATTTAACGAAGAAAGCCTTTTTTTCACTCTTTATTTAAAGTACCCAATTTTTTAGTAAATATATATTGCTTCAATATGATTTTCATATTTTATAAAGAGATTGGGTTTCAAATAATTAAAAACAAACAAATTCTTAAAGTTAACATTTTTAAAACAAAATTTCTTGTTATTTATTCTACTTGAATTAAATTTTATTTAAGTATAGACAAAAAAAAGTATTTAATATTTGTATTATTTATGTATGCAATTATATGTATATAAATCAAGTAAATAATTATTTAAATTTATGTTATTGACTATGTGATAAATGTTTAGTAAAAACTTATTTCAACCCTTCTTATTTCAGGTACCCCGTTTATTTTTAATAAAGATCTTTTTCTCGGAACTCCAATACAGGTTTTGTTTCATCCAAAGAAGCGATTCGGTTTCGTGCATTTAACAACACATGGCAGACAGACGAGATTCTTAAAAAAAATATATCAAAAACATGTAGAAAATTTGGTTTGATTTACTCTTGTATTTCTTCAAATAAGTTTATTGAGATAATTTAAAAATTCTAAAAAAAATATTAAAAATTTAGTTGCAATTGTATTAAAATTTGAATATTTATTAAAACAATTGCAAATAGAGCTAAATTTAATTAAAAAAAACTTTGTTTCTTTGAATTTTTGTCTTTACAATAAATATTATTGTTAGTGTAAAAAGTATATTACAAAATCAAACAATTTTTATTTATTTGAAAAGTACAACCATAAATTTACTGTTTGACAAATTATCTACACTTTTCAATTAAATTTTCATTCATTTTATAATCATTCTTAATTACTTCAATGGTGGGGATAGCAGTAAATTAAAGTTAACGTCAATTGTCCATTAGTTAATTGAAAAATAACTAAGGTTACGTGAAAATATAGACGAAATTACAGTATTCTTACTGTAAAAAACGTCGTTACTTTCATAATAAATAATTTCATAAATCAATAGTTGTATACATACAGATTTTTTGCAAACAATTGTTTAATTGCGATAAGATTGTACTTTAGATAATGTTGGAATGTCGAGTGGAAATGTGATAAGGTTCATTTTAATAATATAAAAACTTAATGATTTTGTAATATAAAGTCGTTTTATTGTACCTGAATTCAATAGTGCCATTATTATAAACCGGACTAATCGAAGCTTTAAAAAATAAACAAGATAAAAATATTTTTTTAGAATTTATTTTGATTTTGCTTAATTGCAATTTACTTTGTTTTGAAATTTTCAAACCAGATTATGGTGAATCCGGACTGATTGAAGCCTCACTCTACGAGGTATTGCTGTATACATAAATTTAAAAAAGTAGTTGAATCTTCAATACATTCATAAAAGAACGATTCAAATATATTAAATGAACGAACGTTTGTTACATAACGCTATAATTGCACAGTATTTCCTTTTTCCTTCTTCTAACACATTTATCTTACTCAAAAGAAAATAATTTCATATCCAGATAAACACGCGCTGTTAATAAATTTAAGTTTCGGTCGGTCATTGGTAATGTTATATGTGAAATTACATAATTGGCATTCCGTTAATGCACTTCCTCTGTAATCTACTCCTACATATATAACAAAGTCAACGAGAAAAACGAGACTTTGGAGGTGTGTCACATTGTTTCGTCACAATCTCTTTATATATTTGTTTGTTTTCATTATTTCAAATGATTCACAACATTAATTTGCATATCTTTCATTGACATGTGGTTAATTGAAATTTTGCATCAGCTTTTCGTAACAAGAAAAAAATGTCAATTCCAATAATTTATTTTATAACAGTTAGTTTTATTTAAACTTGTTTTTTCTTTCTTTTGAAAAAAATAATCTAAATTATTTTGTAGAAAACTTGGTTTGGTTTAATAGTAAATTAATTAATTTTATTACCATAGTTATTAGGTATTATTTCAATTTATGTAATTTTATTTTTTTATAGTCAAACTTTAGACAAATTTCCATTAATTGTTACAAATATGTGTGTATCATTTTACATAATTACAGTGAAATAAGATTATGAAATGCACAACTGTGTTTTATTGAGCATTCTTGCATTAACTTTATGTAATCCATCTGTTTATACTCGCTTATGACTCAAAGTAAACATTGATTATGAGATCAAAGAATTCATTGTTTTTGCCTAGAAATATCCAAAGCCACTATCAATTAATAAGATATAGCAATAGCTAGAAAAGTGCGGCTTCGGTTAGTCACTATATACCGATATAAAAATTTAAAAATAATTTAAATTTTGAAAAAATTAAGATATTTTTTTGTACATAAACTAATCCGTATTTCCTCGATTAGTCCGGATTCAAACAATTTGAGATTTTCCGCACTAAGCGAGGTATTCATGTTTTTAATAACATAATCTATTGACATATTAATCTTCAAAGTAAATAATGATTACCAACTTATATAAAATTAAATGAATTTAGTAATTAGTTGTGATTGCAATTTGTTTATTTAGATATATCAGTTAATATAAAATACATCATATAAAATATTATTTTTTGTAATAAATTTAGTGAATGTTGATGTAATTTTATTTTTTAAATTATCATATTTTTGTTTGGCAGGTAATGTTTATATAATATTTAGTTTATTTTTGTTTCTAAGGAAGCTTTGATCGATCGGTGTCATCGTATGGTTGAAATAGTGTTGCAAACAATACATATCAAATACTGACTATAATAAAATCGTGGAAAAGAAGTAAAATCGGGTTTGCGTAAGAGTTGTCGAATCTGATGTTTTTTTGGATGTGAATGCGTCAGGATGCGATCATCGCCCGAGGTTACAGGTGTGACAGCTTTTGACACTTTACAAAACGTCCGATTTATGTAACAAGCAATCATTATTTTCAAGGTCTTTCGGTAATGAAACAGTATAATGTTTATGAAATGTAACAGTCCGTTAGTGATACCCCTCATCATCCTGATGATTTCCATGATCAACGGTAAAATTATGATGATCGAGAAAGGACGTTACTAAATTTCCAACGAATTGCAGTGACCGCTTTGAAGTGCTACCAATGCCGCAGCGATTTGGACAAGAATTGCGAGGAAGAGGTGCATCAGAAGTACCTGAAAGAATGTATTGCGAAAGAGGACCAAGAGTCCGGCAAAGAAGAATCAATTACGAAGGCTCCAGCCGCTGCTGCTGGAGAATCGTTGACCGTTTCATCATCTTTTTATTGTAGGAAAGTCTCGCAAATACGTAAATATGTTAAGTTTTCATTTGGTTTTGTTTCTGTAGTTTTCTGTATTTGCTTTATTGTAGTTTACGTGAGGAAGGAACATACCGAAGCGACGATTCGCGAATGCGGGAGGACGGATAAAAGTAGCGACTCGTGTCACAAGATATCAAATAAATTGGTCTACAGGGTGATTTGCGAATGCACGGGGGCGGGTTGCAATCGGTCGAACAGTGTTCCCGGTATTTGCAGGACGCTAGTTTTAAGTTTTATTACATGGAATATCTTTCAGACTGTAAATCAATTGTATGCAAATTGAACAGTGGACCTAC